TATTATTATAATATTTATATAAATATATGTATATTATATATAAGTATATGATACATATATATATATATTATATATACACACACACATATGAGTGATATTTATACCATAAATATATATATACCTGGGACATATCACACACACAACATATTATTATGATAACACAATATTATTTCTTAATATTAATTAAAGTACATGCCGCGGGTTCCCGCCCTGAATCTGTTGATTGTTCATATCCGCAGGTTTAAATCAGTATAAAAGATCGTAAATGAAGTCGTCCCTGCAAGCAGAAAGGCAGCAGAGGAGGCTGCTACTCTCGCGCGTGCTTTCCCCCGGGGCAAGTTTTCTCCTGCTCGCAGCTGGCCGATTCGCAGCCGTTGCCGACCCCGAAGAGGCAGGAATTCTCAAGGAAGTATGTCGTCTCCCGCTGCCCGGCGCTCGCCCTGCCACGTGGCGCTTTGTGTGAGGACGAACCTTGTATGCTTATCGGAATCGCCTTCGTCGACCAGCACAGGGGTTGTACAAGGCTGTAGTGTTAGATCGGGTGTCTAAGAGGATCGCCAGCTGGATTTAAAGGAATACGCAGGTTCGAGCGAATGTGCTTGCGAGGACGCCCATGGCTGAGCAGTCGCTGCGGTCTCCCCGTGGCAGGATCCATGAGCGGAAGCCGTTGTGCGCAAGGAATACATTGTGTGTGTGTGTGTGTGTGTGTGTGTGTGTGTGTGTGTGTGTGTGTGTGTGTGTGTGTGTGTGTGTGTGTGTGTGTGTAACACACACAAACACACACAGATATATATCTGTGTGTGTGTGTTTGTGTGTACACACACACACACACACACACAATATATAAGTCTGTGTGTGTGTTTGTGTGTACACACACACACACAAACACACACAGATGTATATATCTGTGTGTGTGTGTTTGTGTGTACACACACACACACACACACACACACACACACACACACACACACACACACACACACACACACACACACACACACACACACACAGAGTACAATGGCAAAGACAATTAGAAGCGAGCGGAAGCATTTGACCGTTGCTTCACAAGGCTTGACAAGAAATCCTAGACGGAGAGATTCATGTCAGTAATGTAATATGCAAATTGCAGCTGAAAATGAATGTGTGAAGTGCGAGCCCCAAATGTTTTGCATTTTTCCCTGTACAGTGAAGCTCGTCTGACAGATGCATCACATTACGCGAAAGTAGGACCGGCATCAGCCCTGCAAAGGCACGGCCGAGAGCTGACCTTTTTCGTGCAAGGCACGATGGCGACCTCGTTCTTCATGTTTAATGAGCGCGCCCTTCTGCGTGATGCCCTCGGGTCCTCGTGGCCCTTCCGGGGTCCTGGGGCGCTCCCTCTGCCCGGCTGCGGGTGCGGGCGGCGGCGGCGACAGGGCGCGTGGAAAACGTTCTTGTCGGCCGGAAAATGTGGTCAGGTGTCACTTCGAGTGGCCGGAGATCGAACGAAGTCGCGTGTGGTTTTAGGGAGAGAGACGGAAAACATTTCAGACATTTAATTTCTGAAAATCGCTATACTTTTTGCCGAAAAAGAATTTGGAAAGGAAAAATAGCCTGCGACAACTGGAAAAATGCGAGATAACCCATCCGAACTGGGAGGAAAAACATCCGGGCAGAAATGGCTCCCTAATGAGGCCGTTTTACCCTGCAAAAAAATCCGCCAAAGCGAAAACACTGGCAGGCTTGACCAAGAGTCCAGAGAGAGAGCTGTTTATGTGGGCATTGTTGACGGACTTAATTACACAACGTATGTTTGCGTTTTGTGTGGCCGCGCAGAGGGAGAGCGCAGCGCAGCCGTTCCCGCTCGGGCGCAGAGGAGTCCTTCGCTCCCTGCCTCGTGCTGTTGCGCCGAGAGCAAGCCAGCTGGCTCTCATTTCATCGATGCTAAATGGCTCTTCTTAGAAGCGTATCTGTTTGCGAAAGCCTTAAAGACAAAGGAGGAACGTGATATACTAACGGGATCTTTTTGCGGTTTCAGTGAGCTAGCGTGTTAGGTCTGGTATAAATAAGAGAGAGAGAATATCTCATCAAGAAATTCATATTGAACGTAACGGCTGGACGAAGAGAATGAAGACCGTTCTAGCAGTCTCCAAAGGCCACAAATACTTTGCGGAAATCGAAGAAGAAGCCGCACCGCGAGCGGCGACCCCGCGTTTGCAGGCGGCGAACTCGAGGCGCGTGCGGCTGCGGCCCAGGGGCGGTTCTCATTAACGAAGGGAGGCTGACCCGGCGATTAGTGTCATGCGGTGATGCATGGCTCGCTGGATTGTTATTTCGTTAATTGCGCCGTTCGCGTTTCCTTTGCTCCTCCAGTATGTTCGTTCGTTTGTCCAATTATTTAGGTATATCGGCCATTGAATATCTTCAGTTTTTTATTTATCATAAAGCAACTCCCAGATCTCAGTTGCGTTGTTGTCCAGAAACTGTGTCAGAAGGAATACGTATTCGCCTTTTGTTAGTTCCTTTTATTTTCCCGTTTTTTCTTTTCTTTTTCTTTTGCTCGGTCGACCACCTGCTGTCCCCCATCTTGATATGCATTCCCTCCCCGTGGGACGGCGGCGTGCCTCCGCGAGCGGGCGGACGACCGGCCCGACCGGCGAGCGCCCGCCCCGCGCAGGCCAGGATGGCGGGCGACTTCACTCTGACGGTTATATTTGGTTTGCTAAGAGGATTTCACGCCGAGCGGCCCAGCGCTCATGCGAAAGCCAATTCAAACACCAGGGTTGTTTCTGTATTTTGCGCGAAAAGCCAAGGCTGGTAAAGGCAAGATCGACTTTTAAATGGAACTTGTGTGGTTTGAAAACATTCTATTTTTACTCAGGAGGGGAGAGCTCATGGGATGGGGAATTTTTAAAATGTGATAACTTTCTCAAATATCTTATTGTTCTCTCTCTCTCTCTCTCTCTCTCTCTCTCTCTCTCTTCTCTCTCTCTCTCTCCCCTCCCTCTCTCTCTCTCTCCTCTCTCTCTCTCTCTCTTCTCTCTCCTTCCTCTTCCTCTTCTCTTCTCTTCTCCTCTCCCTCTCCCTCTCCCTCTCCCCTCCTCCCCTCCCCTCCCCCTCCCCCTCCTCTCTCCTCTCTCTCTCTCTCTCTCTCTCTTCCTCTCTCTCTCTCTCTCTCTCTCTCCCTCTCTCTCTCTCTCTTCTCTCTCTCTTCTCTCTCTCTCTTCTCTCCCTCTCCCTCTCCTCTCCTCTCCCTCCCCTCCCCTCCCCTCCCCTCCCCCTCCCAGTCCTCTCTCTCCTCTCTCTCTCTCTCTCTCTCTCTCTCTCTCTCTCTCTCTCTCTCTCTCTCTCTCTCTCTCTCTCTCTGTTCCTCTCTCTCCCTCCCTCTCCCTCTCCCCTCCCCTCTCCCCTCCCTCCTCTCCTCTCCTCTCCCTCTCCTCTCCCTCTCCCTCTCCCTCTCCCTCTCCCTCTCCCTCCCTCCCTCTCCCTCCCTCTCTATCTATCTATCTATCTCCCTCCTTCCCCCTCCATTCCTCTCTCCTCTCCTTCCCCCTCTCGCATCGTCCGCCTCCTTCTACCTGTGTGCCTCCGCTGCTGTTCCTGCGAGCAGCCTGCCAGGGGCGAGTCCCTCCCCACTAACGCGCGTGTGTTGCGTTTCAGGCGCCGAAGATCGTGGTGGCCCTCTACGACTACAACGCCACCGAGCGGGGGGACCTGTCGCTGCGGAAGGTAATCAGCCGCGGCGGCCGCCTCTGCTCACTCGTGTCATGAGAGGAAATGACGGGAAGCGGCATCAGCTGCACGGGCGATGGCTGGCCTGTCATTTGCCTAGTATTTGTTATTGTTATTATCAGCATTGCCATTAAAATACCAATATTATTGTTATCATTGCTATTGTTATTACTGTTACTATTACTATTAATACAATTTACTTTTATTATTATTAATGTTAATATTATTATTAATGTCGCTACTACTACTACTACTATTACCATTACCATTACTGTTTCTACTATTATTACTATTAGTAATACTATTACTACTACTACTCTTACTACTACTATCACTATTATTACTACTATTAATGCTGTTACTACTACTGCTACCACTACTACTCTTACTACTACTACTACAACAACAACTAACTACTAACTACTACTACTACTACTTACTACTACTACTAACTACTACTACTACTACGCTACTACTACTCTTACTACTTACTGCTACTACTACTACTACTACTACTACTACTACTACTACTACTACTACTACTACTACTATTCCTAATCCTACTCTTACTACTATTAATATAACTATTACTACTACTACTACTATTACTACTGCTACTACTACTATTGCTACTACCACAACAACATCAACTGCTACTACTATTTACTACTCCTACTCTTAATACTACTACTACTATTGCCACTACTACTGCTACTATTACTACTACTACTACTACTACTATAATTCCTACTCCTACTCTTAATACTACTACTCCTAGCCGTACTACTACTATTACTGTTACTACAGTTACTTTTACTACTATTGCTACTACTACAGCTACTACTTTTATTACAATTACTACTACAACAACAACAACTGCTACTACTATTATTCCTACTCGTACTATTATAACTACTACTGCTACTACTACTACGACTATTCCTACTCATATTCTCACTACTACTATTACTGCTACTACTACTATTAATACTACTGCTACTACTACTATAATTCCTACTCTTACTACTACTATTCCTGCTCTTACTACTACTACTACTATTACTACTACTACTACTACTACTACTACTACTACTACTACTTACTGCTACTCTATTACTGCTACTACTACTACTACTTTACTACTACTCTACTACTACTACTACTACTACTACTACTTACTACACTACTACTCTACTACTACTCCTACTACTACTCTATCTTACTCTTCTACTCCTACTCCTACTCCTACTCCTACTCCTACTCTTAGTACTACTACTCCTACTTTCACTACTACTATTACTATTACTACTATTATAACTACTACTACTACTTCTACTTCTACTACTAATGCTGCTGTTGCTGCCATTATAGATTATTGTTATTATTATTATTATTATTATTATTATTATTATTATTATTATTATTATTATTATTATTATTATTATTATTGCTATTATTATTATTATTATAATCATTACCATGGTCTTGTATAACAGTTGATATGAATGTTATTTTTAGAATGAAGAATTCGAGGTGCTTGAGCAAGATCAGGAACACTGGTGGAAGATGAGAAATAGACAAACTGGGTAAGTCTTCTTCCTTCGTTCTGTACGCACAGTTTATATCTTGAATTATTTTATAACATTTATGTAGATGAATAGAAAGTATTGTAATTGTACTCAAATGCACTGACGTTCATCCACAGAATGGAAGGGTTTGCTCCCAGCAATTACGTCAGAGAGCTAGGAACACCTGATATACAACAGTATGAGTAAGTATGCCTAATCAGATTTGCAATGGGTCTCGTCTTTCTATTTTCTAAAGTGGAGATCTGTTCTCTGGTCAATTCGAGAACTTACATGGGAATTCCTGTCCCTTCAGCTGGTACCTGGGCGACGCGACGAGACAGCGCGCGGAGGTGTTCCTGATGCAGCAGGAGCGGGAGGGTTGCTTTGTGGTGCGGAACTCGACCACGAACTCTGGCGTCTACACCCTCTCAGTGTATACGAAACAGTAAGTTGATTTTTGTGGTGTTTCGAAACCGAGCTTTGCAGTTGTGATACAAAATATGTGTAATACGAAGGAGGTTAACTTTGTTTTGTTTCGTTTTCTTTGAAGTTTTCCTTTTAGTTTCACGCTTACAGAGACATGTAACGTATAATCTCTCCGAAGAACAAGTGTTCTTCCAAAGGGCTTCTTGTGAGGGTGTATATCTCCATTTATATATTTGTTTATACTGGCTTAGGTCTCATCCGCAAGTAAAGCACTACCACATCAAGAAGGACCCGGAGGGAAACTATTACCTGTCGCAGAACATCAAGTGCAAGACCATTCCCGAGCTCATCTACCGACACCAGCACAACCCCGGGGGCATCTGCGCCAGACTGCGACCGCCCACCCTCGGGAGGACTGCGCCAGCCACTGCGGGGCTCAGCCACGGTAGGGGACTTTTGTTACTAGGATGTGCCTCATCTTGAATAAATTTTGTTCTAGGTAGGATTAGTAGACTTCGCCTCTGAAAAGGTTAATTCTTGAATTTTGCCTTTTCATAACCATCGTTATTTCCTCCCCCACCCCCCTCTGTGAACCTCTTTGGAAAAAAGGAAATGTGCCACTATTCACTGTGAATGTTGCTTTCCAGATAAGTGGGAGATTGACCCCTCGGAGCTGAATCTCCTGGAGGAGCTGGGTTCCGGGCAGTTCGGCGTGGTGCGCCACGGCAAGCTCAAGTCCTTAGATGTGGCCGTCAAGATGATGAAGGAAGGGACGATGAGCGAAGACGAATTTATTGAAGAAGCGAAAGTCATGACGTAAGTGTCTCTCTTATTTGTTGGCGCTGCAAGATGGTTCATTTTTCTTAATTGTTTGTTTGATGAAATATAGTGCACAAAGTTACTACTGTATACACCGAATCTGTGTAATCTAAATGTGATTGTTTGTCTCTTGTTACATTATGAACCTTGCTGATTAAGGAGCATGTGATAGGGCCGAGTTTCATAGATAGTGAATTGCACGGAGATGCATCGTCCGTCGTTAAATGCATGGGTCACGATCACTCTAAAAGTTGCCTAACACTGACGAACTATTTCAGGAAATTACGACACGGTAATTTGGTTCAGCTGTATGGAGTGTGCAGTAGACAACGCCCAATATACATCGTAACGGAATACCTGCGCTATGGATCCTTGCTACAATACCTTCGTAACAAAGAAAGAATCCTATTAAATAATACTGATGTTCTTTTAGATATGTGCTTGCAGGTAAGTTTATATATTTTGTAACAATTGCAAGTCTCAAATTGATTAGCCTTTAGACTTACCTTTGAGTTAGTCATTAAAAGCAAAATAAATATGTAAAATTGATACCCGTAAGAAAATATTTTTAAAGTAAACATGATAAAGGGTAATGATGGTGTATGTAACAAGAATATAGTCAGTGTGATACAGATAGGGGATTTATTTATTTTAAGAATGGTAGCTTCTTATCAGATTCATTTTTTTAGGCAGTGGAAGTATTTTAACATATTGGAACAAGACTGGTCAAATAAAAATTCTTATTGACAGGTTTCAGAATTATCAGATTCGGGCAATTCAGTTTACAAGGAAGCTCAAGTAGCTGAAAAAAGTGTTTTGGAAAAAAAAAAAAAAAAATTGTTGTCAGTATATTTTGTGGAAGTGTAACAGTGATATCATTTACAAGGTTGGCTTACAATAAAAGTAC